AATTTTCAATCCTTAGCTATACAAACTGAACATTTTATAATTTATTAATTACGATGATTGATACATTTTGTCAAAATGCGATCTTTAAATGTTTATAAAAAAAAATTGTGCCTATGTATTTTTAATATTTTTCAATTGCTATTGTAACAATATATCAGAAGCCTTGTATTAATTTTTTACACTTTTTGGCCCAACAGATAAAACTTTATTAATATTTATAAAAAAAAAAAACTAAAAAAATTGAAAACTGAAAATGTCCGTTAACGGCTCAAAAAGAGTCAAAATATTTTCAAAATTATATGGCGTATAGGAAATGCTAATATAAACATTCAGTGAAATTTTCATATATCTACAGTAATTCATTTTTGAATTACAACAAAATAAGGAAATCGCCACACGAGAAATCGAGTGAATATCCAATGTTGTAAAAATTTGAATTTCAAACGCTCATAAAAATTTAATTTGACTTTCTTATAGAATTTTTTTTTTTGATAAATTTAGGAAATCTTATAAGGAATCTTGTATTACATTTTCATATCTTAGATTCAAAAAGAAAAATTTTTATGAATTTCTAACTCGAAATAATTTTCAAATTTTCGTGATCTTTCCATATTTTGTCATTTTTTGAACTTTAAATGCTTAAAAAAAAACTGTGACTAACGATTTTTAATTTTTTTCATTTGTCTTTGAAACAATATAGTAGGAGCCTTGTATTAAATGTTCAAGTATTTTTACTCAACAAATAAATTTTTATTGATATTCATAAAAAAAAAAACTAATAAAATTGGAAACTGAAAATGTCCCTAAACAGTTCAAAATAAATCAAAATATTTTAAAAATGTTATAGTGTATAGAAAAGTCAACCACTGAAAATTTCATGTATCTACGGTCATTTGTTTTAAAGTTACACCAAAAACCAAAATTTTCTCGAAAACAGATTTTGCGTAAAAATTCCCGTTTTTCCTTAAGGGGATTGGAAGCGGCGATTTTCTGTCTTTATCTAACACACGTGGAACATAGGATTATAGACGTGTTCTATGTCCAACGTACCGATTAATCTAATGAAGCGATAAGAATTCTGAAAACAGATTTGAATTTGTCGTCAAGTCTACTTGAGATCGACTTTCCCACATTTTTGATATTGTCCCACCAAAATCATAAAAATGATATATTATAAAAAGTACTTAAAAAATTTACAAATTTCAACTTTTGGAGAAGTTTAAATCAAAAAATCAAAAATGTGGGAAAGTCGATCTCAAGTAGACTTGACGACAAATTCAAATCTGTTTTCAGAATTCTTATCGCTTCATTAGATTAATCGGTACGTTGGACATAGAACACGTCTATAATCCTATGTTCCACGTGTGTTAGATAAAGACAGAAAATCGCCGCTTCCAATCCCCTTAATTTTTCTTTTGTCTTTCCCGGCGCAGTTTGATAACTACTGTGAAATTTCGACTACTTATCTACAGACTAAAAAAAAATAAAAAATAAAAAAACACACATCATTGTAAAATCAATACATTCATCGTTTCACTCAGAATCTAAAATAGTTTTTTGTTTTCATATAGGTAAAATTAAAATATTCGTACCTAAAATTGTTCATGTTATTACACCAAAGAACTATTATTATTTTATGTGTTCAAAAAGCTAACAGTACACATTTTGTATTTGTTCATTATTTTCAATTTTATAATAATGAAATGACATTATAAATTAAATTATACATTTAATTTGTATAAATATAATACAATATATTTTATATAGCTAAAAGTCTAAACCTCTCTTGTAGACACAATATAGGTAGGTGTATTAAAAAAAATAATAATAATAATCAAATAAAAATATATTAATTAAAAGCTTCAGAGATAAACAAATTTAAAATATTATATATTATTATAACATAAACAAATTATTATCTGATCTGCTTGTAAATATTTGTAAATATTATAGTAAATACAATTTGCATATATAGGTACTTGTATTATCACTAAATAGTAAATAGTAATTAAAGTGGATAGATATATAATTAATCATCAAAAAACTTATTGAACTTCAGGAGAAGAGACATCTCAAAATTTTTATCACACATAGATCCTCTTCTTTTATCATTTAGTTGCCCTCCAGCACTAAATAGGCGTTCAACATGTGCCGATGATGGAACTGCTGTATTGTATTTGATATATGTTTCTTTTAATGCTAATGGTAAGTCCAGAGTGTTTGTTAAATTTGAATTTGACAAATAATTATTAATAAGTAATTCAGTGCCACTGTTTTCTCTGATAATTTAATTTTCTCTAAAGCTGAGAAAATCATCTTCTGAATCACTATTTTCAAACTGTTCAGTAGCAGATATCGATGGTTGATTTGATTCTTGAGAACTCAATATATTTATAGAAGTATTGTTAGTTACAATTTCTATAAGATGTTGTTTTATTTCATCTCTAATTTCATTAGCTGTCCAATTGAGTTTAAATTTAGGAATTAAAGAAGCAGCTACCTGGCATGACTTTGGTATAAAGTAATTATGAAACCTATAAAAAAAAAATTATTTTATGGAAATGTTATCTTAAAAAAATAATTTACAATTTAAGGTTATTACAAAATATTTTCCACTATACATTTGTACACAGTTTGTCCTACACTCAATCTGTGTCCCAAACCGTTTGATGTAATGATGTTTGACCTACAATCATAGGTGCCTACTGTGTAGTGTGTACTTAAGCTAGCGGCTAACTGGCCACTGTGCTACTATACAATTACAAAGTGGGCCAGAACTTATGTCCCCCTGGCCAGTTAGTACAAAATAATTCAACCTATATAAAATGTTTTCGCAAAGCTAACTTATATGTGGCACTCCTGGGGAAATATATTATGGATTGCAATAGGTCTTTAAGTTATAGAATAAAATAGTGTTTGCAGTTAAAGTTAACAAATGATTATGAATTACAAGATAATTGCTAATTTTTTTTATAAAAAATTCTTCTTCAAAATTATTATGCATTGGTAAATAGAAAATGTTGATCTTACAATGTCATAAAAACAAAATCACCCTAAAAACAATTGAAAGGAACTTATTTTATCTGGATAACAAGTTTGGAAACCAAAATAATGTGAGTTAGTATGCTTTTAGTAGGGGTGATATTTTCTCTTCAGAATAGTGGGCCGAAAGGGCCCCAGTCAGGTTAGCTTTACCACAAACCACTAGTACAGTACCTATAATTTAGAAAAGCTACTAGAATAATTAATTTGGCAAATTTAGGACGAGTTGAATTGCAATATCACTAATCAATACATACTGACAATTTTAATTTCATTAATTGCAATGTTAAAAATGTTAATTAATAAAAAATAAAAATAAACTCCTATACTTTTTCAGTTTTATGACATAAGGAAATAATTTAAAATTTTAATAAATTATTAATCATAATAAAATAAAGTTAAAATATATGATGTATATTCATAATATTTATTAAATATGTATACTATGTCTTACCTTTTATTTAACCCTCTTTTCAATGCAAGAATAAGAGGTTTGCAGAAGACAATATTATTTTTTAATCCGTTTAAAGATTTGTGAACAGCATTGGGAGAAGAAATCCCAGGCACACAGATTTATCTCCTTGTAAAATGTCTAATGCTTTTGATAAAGGTTTCATAACCTAAAATATTAAAATCAGTAGGAATAAAGTTAACTACAGTCTACATAAATGTATATTTATATATAAAAATAATAATTACTTTGCAATACTCTTTTAAAAATCCAACTTCCCGAGGTTTTGAAAAGGAAACCAATTCTAATTTGATACAAATATCATCAATTTTATCAATATTTTCCACTATACAATTGATTGCATCATAATAAGAATTCCATCTAGATGCATAAGTATAAGTAACCACCAAAATAAATAAGTCGTTTCAATAAATTATAAATTATATTTATTAAATATTTACCTTGTGGCATTAGGTGTTATAAGATAACGACCAAGTATTTCTTTGATTTTGTCTGCATTTAACGTTAATTGGTTTTGTTTATTAAATATCGATTGAAATTTGCTAAAAACTCGTCTACTAATCGAATTGTATGTAGCATCCTTCTCAGCTTCTAGAATGTCTCCTGTTCCTGTTGTTAATGTATGGGCTACACAGCGCTGATGTGGAGGTAATGAGAAATTAAACGATTTTTCTATATTTACATTATCTAGTACATCAGAAATTTCAATTGATCTTGGGGTTTCTAGTTCATCAGAGTCAGCATTTTCCTGTATACTATCACCATTATCATTATTGAATACTCTAAAAAAGATAACATTTATTAAAATATACCATAATATAGAAATATTTGCAATAATGGAAATATGCAATAAATATTATAGTTGGTTAGTAACAACTTAACATTTTAATTATGTAGGTATAAAATATACACTAAATATCTTTAATTACCTAGGTATTATTAAATTCTACTATTAAGAGGAAGCTGCACGTTCATGTATTGTCTCCGTCATAATAACGTACAACATAGCAAATTGACGTTCAGCATAAACTGTGTAGTGTTGTTAGTTTTAATATTACAATAAATTGACCTTTTATCAAATTTAAAGATAAGAAATTATTTATTACCTCTTGTTGGTTTTTTATATTTTAATTATAAGCGTTTAAAATTACTCGCTTAGGTTGCTTAATTTACTGTAATATGAAAACTAACTATACTACACAGTTTATGCTGAACACAAATTTGGCATGTGTTACATCAGTAAGACAGAGACAACACATGCAAATGTAGCGTCCTCTTAACTATTAAGTTCTAACAAATACTATATTATTAAATAATACCTGAAAGCTTTAACATTGTCTGTAACTATCAGAGTAGTTTTTTTATGAATTTTAAATTCACTAAGGATTTTATCAATAACTTCTGCAATATTGTCATACGTATGTCTACCAATCATCCTTCTGCAAGCAAGTCCTTTAGAATTTCTTTGCAATGTTTCAGGATCAATTCAATGTACAGTGAAACCTATGTACGATCTACAATAACAAAAAATAATTAGTAAATATAATAGGTATATGAAAAAAAAAAACAATTATTTTGAATGAACTAACCTGTGAAATATACTCCAACAATCAGCTGTTAAGCACACATATCTTATTTTCCAAGTCATTTTTTAGTTGTGAAATCATTTGTTCATAAATGCATTGAACATTGCGCATTAATGTTCTTCTTGAGACGGGAACTTTATTGCTAGTAATTTTACAGTATCTCAAAAATGCAGGGTGCTCTATAAAAGAAAAAGGAGATACCCTACTAGTATTTTTAAACTGTAATATTGTACTAAATTATCTAACAGCCAACTTAGACAATAATGATATTAGTAATAATAGTTAATAGTGATATTAACTGGCCAGTTAGTACAAAATAATTCAACCTATATAAAATGTTTTCGCAAAGCTAACTTATATGTGGCACTCCTGGGGAAATATATTATGGATTGCAATAAGTCTTTAAGTTATAGAATAAAATAGTGTTTGCAGTTAAAGTTAACAAATGATTATGAATTACAAGATAATTGCTGATTTTTTTTATAAAAAATTCTTTTTCAAAATTATTATGCATTGGTAAATAGAAAATGTTGATCTTACAATGTCATAAAGACAAAATCACCCTAAAAACAATTGAAAGGAACTTATTTTATCTGGATAACAAGTTTGGAAACCAAAATAATGTGAGATAGTATGCTTTTAGTAGGGGTGATATTTTCTCTTCAGAATGGTGGGAAAGTCGAAGTATAGGCGAGTACAACACTAAGTAGCGTATTTATTTTTATACTCATACCTACAGTGATTACTGAATAGTGAATACTGAATACTTATTAGTAGTTATTACTAATACACAATAATTAGCGGTTGGCCTGTATGCGTTGTTAGATTATCAATAAGACAAGAACACGAACCGCGATTAAAAATATTTTTATTTTTTCATCGTGACTATATTATAATATAATATTATATTAAATAATAAAATCTGGAAATGACAGTATTAGTAGTTGTAACAGATAAGTAATAATATGTATCGATATCGAATATAGAAACACTGTGTTAGCACCACTAGTCACTAGGCGTCCATGCTGGAATTCTAGATTTCGGTGAAATCGATGAAAACGTTGAATTAATAATTAATGATACAAAAATAAACGGGGTATTACACTATTACCACATAACAGTCTAGTCCGTCTAGCGTTATCTTCTATATAGATATTAATTCTTAATAATAAGTATAATATAATAATAATAATGTATAAAACAAATATACATTTTATTATAATAATAAATAATGATTATAATATTACCAAAATAGTTTATAATAATTCATAGGAATATCTGTAGCTATAAGTTATAACCGCCAACTGGGGACGATGGCGAAAAATAACAGGCAATAATAATATTCGTAATTCCATAATATAAGTATTTAAATTTTACATGAATTTAAAAAATTGAAAACATATTACATTATAATTAAAATAAAAATTAACTTAACTTGTTTAAATGTAAAATTAACTCAAGTTGATTAAAAGTTAATTTAAATGCTCCTAAAGTGATTAATTAAGTTAATACACATAAAAAAAATAACTTATTAAGTTAAAAAGTTAAATTAACTTAACTTTTTAAATTAACTTTAACTTATTAAAGCGTTAATGCCCAGCCTTGCATTTTAATATATACTTCGGATTGAACCCCCAATAAAAAATTTAAAAAATTATGAATATTGTGTAGTACGATGCATATAATGTATGGCTTAATAATATTTGAAATTAAGTCCATGTTGACGATTTCTTTTCATATCTGCCATTAATCTTCTTAGTTGTAATATAAGTACTTTCTTTTCAGCAAACTATAAAATAAAATATAATTAAAATATAAACTATTTCCATAAGTAACTAATATACAGGGTTTTCCATTTAACTTAAGACACTCGACCTTTCAGAAAATAAATGTTTTGAAAAAAAATGTTACATAATATTCACTAGGTACCAAACAATATCTTTTATCGTAAGTATTAAACAATATACCATTTTAAGTTTTTTAACCTTTTGAATTAAAACATACATTTTGAATTACATAAGCACAACATTATTTGGAGTATTTCCACATTTATTCGTTGAAGTTTTAAATACTTATAACTGGAGCACAGATTTGTATGCATGTAATATAAAATAATTTAATAATATTATTTTTTAGAGCCTTTATAGATGGTTATTGTTCATTTTATATTATATTATATTTATATTATAAATAACCATCTATAAAGGCTCTAAAAAATCTTAAAAATTCATAATTGTATTAATATATATTATGCACTAAAATGTTCAAATATGCACTCAAAAATTCAATTTATTTTCTGAATAATTAATTTAAAATTATGGAAAACTACTATTAATACATTTCTTTATAATATTTGTATTTTTTAGGTAGTTTTAATCTATAAGAAAAATAGGAATCAATTAAAAGGATGCCACACGGCCATTTGTTCTCTTCGTCCAACAAGTGCGTAACATTGAAAATTTACTCACAGCAGATAACGTTTACCTCAGTTAGTTTAAAAATTAGAGTGAATGGAAATATTATGAAACTTGATGGTAAGAACATTATCTATGTAACCAACATACAAACACAGATAATGTTCTTGCCATATTTTACGATAGATCAATTTCTTTAACAAATTATGCATACATAATAAGATAAATGAAAAATGGTCATGACTTATTTAAATACTGCATAATTGTAAAAAAAAACACAGATAATGTTCTTACCATAAGTTTTATAATAGGTAGATTCACTCTAATTTTTAAACTAACAGAGCTAAACGTTATCTGCTAAGAGTAAATTTGCTAAGTTACGCACTTGTAAGATAGAGACAACAAATGTGTGTGTGGCGTCCTCTTAACATCAAAAATGTTTGGAATTTATTTAGGTTTGTATCTACCTAAATAAAAATTTGTAAAGAAAAAACAAGAAAAAAATTAATTCCCTGGGAAAACCTTTTACACCGACGAGTATACATTACCTAAATAAAAATTATATTTTTTTAAAAATCTTTTAAAAACATTAATAGGTTTTGAAAGAACGAGTGTCTTATTTTAAGACTTAAGATCCTCCGGTACACTCACTGTGTTTTCAAAACTCTCCATAATTTTGTTTTTAGTTTCAACCTTTGTTTTCATTCTTTGCAAATGTTCTTTTACCATACTTTCACAACCAGAACACATATTGACTGAACTATTTTCAAAATAGCCTAAACATTGTTCAAAGACAAATCCACTTTTACCACGACATTTTTCAATACTATCAACTTTTTCTAAGAGATCTTCTAACTCTTTTTTTGTTGTGATAGGCGTTGTATATTCATATTTCTTGCCATATATTTGTATAGATGGCACAAGGTTATTAAAAAAAAGGACTATCTTCACAGTTACATCATTGGCGTCTAGTTCATAAAACCGTGTTGCATTTTTTGCATTAAGATGTTTACTCTCCCAATATAAACTAGGAAGTTCAACTTCCTTTGCCATTTCAAAAATAAACCCGTGTTCATCAATTGTAAGATCTTTAGTATTGCAAACATCCATTAAAATACATTGTGAAGTTCTTTTCTCAATTGGTTCCAAAGTAATGGACAACGAATCATTAGATGAATCATCAATTGTAAGGTCAATTATCATGGAAGTATTATCTGAAAAGTTATTAATTTTTTCAGTATTTGGTTTTAATGTTGGATTTAAATTACATGTTAAAATATATTTTAGTAAGCTTTTTTTACACGGTACCTTTTTCATTGTTTTGTTTTTCTTTTGACGACTGTTCAGCAGCTTCATTATCTATCAATACAGGCAGCTCATCGGTTGCCACAGGCAAAGCATCAGGTGCTAATGATTTGAAAAAAGAATTTTTATTTAATGAACATCCATGATTATGTATACAAACATCCATTAAAATACATTGTGAAGTTCTTTTCTCAATTGGTTCCAAAGTAATGGACAACGAATCATTAGATGAATCATCAATTGTAAGGTCAATTATCATGGAAGTATTATCTGAAAAGTTATTAATTTTTTCAGTATTTGGTTTTAATGTTGGATTTAAATTACATGTTAAAATATATTTTAGTAAGCTTTTTTTACACGGTACCTTTTTCATTGTTTTGTTTTTCTTTTGACGACTGTTCAGCAGCTTCATTATCTATCAATACAGGCAGCTCATCGGTTGCCACAGGCAAAGCATCAGGTGCTAATGATTTGAAAAAAGAATTTTTATTTAATGAACATCCATGATTATGTATACAAACATCCATTAAAATACATTGTGAAGTTCTTTTCTCAATTGGTTCCAAAGTAATGGACAACGAATCATTAGATGAATCATCAATTGTAAGGTCAATTATCATGGAAGTATTATCTGAAAAGTTATTAATTTTTTCAGTATTTGGTTTTAATGTTGGATTTAAATTACATGTTAAAATATATTTTAGTAAGCTTTTTTTACACGGTACCTTTTTCATTGTTTTGTTTTTCTTTTGACGACTGTTCAGCAGCTTCATTATCTATAAACACAGGCAGCTCATCGGTTGCCACAGGCAAAGCATCAGGTGCTAATGATTTGAAAAAAGAATTTTTATTTTAAATTATTATATAGATTTTAAATACAATTTTATTATAAAAAATAAATATAACATCAAAGAAAAATTATTTAATAGGACATTCCCAAGTCATTATCTTTGATTAACTGTTCAAAAGGGGAAAATACTGTTTTAAGCATATTTATCCAACAAAAATAAGTAAGTTTTATTTATTCCGAGGTCATTAAAGCTAGACTTTTGAAAATTCATATGGAATTAATTAAAATCAAAATGTTTTAATCAAAAATTACATATTGCAATTTCAACAAAACATTATTAAAAAAAGAATATATATATTAATATAAAGAAAAGGAAATTGGGGTTATAAACTAGTATTTTTACTGCATGGGTTAGCTTTATTCTAATTTATTAATGAAACCTTCTTTCTTATATTAAATCTTGAGGTGTTTATAATATTGTTCATTTTTTCTTTTTTTAAAAAAAAAGTGAAAAAATATTAGATTATAAAGCAAAATTAAACCTTGCATTTACCTAAACTATGAAAATAGACTGATAATTAATAGTTAAAAAGTTAATACAAATTAAAACAACAAATGATTATTTTTTTTCTTACCATTAACTAAAAATAATGTAGGAACAGCACCTGGTTTTAATCTGTTCTTTAATTCAGTATTTTTGAAACAATCGATTTCAAAATGTGTACCGCAAACTCTTGTAGTACTTTTTACTATTGTAGAGGGATCTATTTCTACACCGCATTTGTCCATCCACATTTTTCTCAGCGTGAAATCCTTAGGATAGCCAAAGAAACTAAGATTCTTTGAATGCCTGTTTAAGCAGTTTTTAACGGAACATCGTAATGCAGGTCGTGATTTATGGTCCTTTAAAATATAAACACATAATTCATATTAATATTAGAAACAGCTAGGTTGCCAATCATAAAGTACAAATTATAAAATCAAAAAAAAAGATAAAGATATCACACTGTATTGACAATGTTTATTAAAAATATTAATACATATTTACTGACCGGCATATTTTTATTCCTCATATCCTCATTGCTTCTAGTATATCTAAATGACGGTCTTGGTGATTTAAAATTATTCACAGCATTTCCAATATGACCCTCTCTGTAAAATTCAGATTCTTTACAATCACTTTCATCATAATAAGTTAAATTTTTAGATATTCAAATAATTGTAAAAACAAACTCTTGTCTAATACAATTTTCATTAACTCACCTTATAATATTTTGTTCCATTTGTAAATTTTTATTATTTCCAGTTTCGACATCATTAATTTGACTAGCATAACTATATAAAAATAAAAAACTGTTGAATATTAAAATTAAAATTATGGAGATCCAGAAGTATTACTTAGAAGGAAAACCATTTCGTTCACAAGGTTGGGGAATAGTATTTGGAAATAAATATCTCTTTTTTCCTGGCTTATAGTTTTCTTCCAAAAAATGATCACTACATACACGTTGCCAATCATGACAACGATCAATTCCAAGAACTTTAAGCCATTTTCTCCTCATATATGCATTCTTGGGAATTCTATATCAAAACAAATATCAATGAATACAATAAATTGCTAATGTTAGGTTAGGAAAATAAACATTAATTATACAACAAATAATTATATAACAAAATTATTTCACAGTATCCCGCACCAGGATAATGAACCATGTCAATAATAGGTATGATTCAAAAATCCATGTGCGTTTTTTTCACAACAGTTTGAGCGAGTAAATTTCTAGAACCAATTGATACTCACGCATGATAATGAACTCCTGGACGACTGACCTTGGTCTTACGAGATGCATTGAAGCACACTATACATGTATGCATTTTTATGCAATATTGAAGTTAGCCTTATCCGTAGACAGTTATCTAATTTGTATGCAGTTGGAACTCAGAAAAAAGAACTCGATCAATGGACGTGAGTAGCCTCGATCACTCAGTCTTGGAATGTATACGACACTTGTATTCCGGTCTCCTATAGAACGATGATTGTGTTTTGAGACGTAAGTTTTCTCGTGGTAGTTAATCCAGTCATCTATAGAATAGTTGGGTGGTTAGGTACCATAGTATGCTTTAAGTATAATACATACATAATAATACGTCTACTGCAATATCATCGCCGAGTTCTGTACAAAGCACATGAATGAAACCAAGAAAAACTTATTTTTTTGATTTCACAGTCACAAATTTGATGAAATATTAATGGTATTATTACAAATGAATGTTTAAAAAGCGCCTATTTATTATTTAGCCGGACAAACATACACGGTAAAAAAGAAATAATATTCTGCCGCGAAAACTACTGTCGCAAACAAAAGACAGGCGTCCATAGATAATATAAAGAATGGATTGGACATGCCAAAACCAGTTCCATATGAGACCGTGTGCTTTTTTGGGGAAGAGAGAAAGACGATATGAGACTTTTTAAGGTTATGTGCAAAACTATTTTATTAAATAATAATAATAACAATAACATAATAGTCAGTTATATTTAGATATTTGTCAGTTTGTATTTTGATTGTTGTGCCACCTATGCCTGGAAAATGGAAATTGGAAAATAATATTTTAACAAAATGAAATTATATAAATTTTATTTATTATTATTTATCAATTATCATATCAATATTTGCCTCATATAACCTTAAAAATAATATCAATAAATTTTCATGTGATAAGTTCTTATGTCCCACGATTATAAAGAACAGGTTATGCGTCGGAAGGAATATTTTCGGTGAGATTTTGTTACGGCGGTGTAGTTCTTAAAACCGCCGAGCGCTGCAAGTCATCCGTGTTACATATTAACATTTTCCTATACAAACCATGTTAAAACTAATTTTTTAATTAATAAATTGATAAACCTTTTGTTTTAATATTAGCGTTTTATTCATAGGCAATTCATAGACCTGCATTTTGGGTGTAGCCTACTGTATTTTTAGACTCTCTTTTTTTATTTCGGCCCTACTAACAATGTATACAAACTTTGATAATATTAAATTATTTTTCATCAACCTAATTGAATTATTAATATTAATTATAATATAATTTTTTAAGAGATATGCAATGATGTTTTAAAAATATTTTGATAAATTTTAAATTATTTAACATTTTAGTTTATTTTTTTTGTAGTGGTTTTACAATGTTTGAAAAATGCCTATTGCCTAGTAATTTAATAAAATGTTCTTCATAATTTTGAAATGGAAAAATATACCTAAATTCACTACAATAGGGGCCAGTTCTAAAGACTTAATTGTTGGGAGGGGGGGCATAATTTTCACAAATGAATAATGATTATTCGGTGACTACAAAAACTATATCTCAATAATCAGTTATGGGGTCACTTACATTAGGAACCAGGAGTTAGAAAGTGTATGTATATCATTGTGTTTTTTAGTATTCAAAAGTATAACGTCATTCTGTGTGGTACAAAATAAATAGGTACATTTTTAAAAAGTACATATTTTATATATATTATATTTACATATACCAATTCGAGCCCTAATGTAGTGCCAAAACTAGAGTTTATTGAATTAAATTAATTTAATCAAATCAACTTTACATATCAGATGGTAATTTCCTTTTTTCACTGGGTTTGACAAATATTTTGGACCTGGAAATAAACTTGGAACACCATCATGAGCAAGCTTTGCTCGCTTTAAATTTATCTATAAAAATGTTTAAGACATTTTTATATAAAAAAAGATTCATTAAACAAAGGATAAGTTACAGTAGCTAGGTAATACCGTGACTTTTGAAGCAGATTCCCAATTTCTAACAATTTGATCAGGTGTAAAATGTTTTTCACAAATCACTGTCTTTGAGTTGACAACAAGATTAGCACGAGGAATAGATTTTTCCCTCAAAATTTTATTTTTAGAAAATTGAAACAGTGAAACTTTTTCTGGGTTTAATTTATATCCTGACGTACAAAACACAACATAGCAAGAAGATGGCATGTTTTGATAATTCGGAAATAAATAATATAATAAAATAATAACGTACTGTGTCAGACGTATGACCCCACTATGACAATAATATTAAATATTAATAATATATTATACGATTCGCGTTCACAAATCACAATAGATGATTTATATTTATGACAATATGACGACAACGAACAATTTGTTTAGAGCCAGGTTAACTAGCAGCGCCTACTTAGTGGTAATAGCGACTATCACCGTAACAATTTCTGACCGCGGTTGTGCCATACAAACATTATACCGACGCATAACCTGTTCTTTATAATCGTGTTATGTCATATCCATTCTTATATTATTATAATTTCACATTTATCCATATATATGCATTACAACATTTTTTTCTGTTGGAATCATTAAAACCATTCTAGTCTGAATTTTTAAAGCAAGACCGATAGCCGATAGGTAATAATTGTTTAGGGCATTTACTTACAGGACCTATACTGAATTATTTGTGTATCATGTCGTAGGGTATAACTATTGGCACTTTAAGGAAATTGTTACATAATATCAATGTTTAAATCATAAAATCAGCATATAAAACTACTGTCAAAACTTTAACTGATTCAGAATATTAATACTTATCTATATCAGTAATTATATTGAGTATAGGAATACTTATGTTTGATAAATTAAACATATTCCATTGAAAAAAAAAAAAATAATTGAAACATAGTTATTGGCACCATAATTGTATTATTGACACTTGTAATATTATAGTTATTAGCACCAATAAATGTATATATTCAAATGTACCTAGGTACCTATAATTACATATCTTTTAACAGCTTAAATCAATTAGGTATTTAAACTTTTCTTCTACATAATACCTACATTCAATTAATATATGTATATTTATATAAAAATAAAATTTTTCAAATAAAACAATTACTTATTGATGTATTCTTAAATATTTAAAAATGTAAAACTAACAATAGGTATTACCTACTCAAAATTATTTTTAAAATAAAATAATTATTTAGGTAGTTTTTAAAACAAATATGTTTGCAGTATAAAATAATTTTTCTCTTCATATTAATATTAAATAGGTATAAGAAACATAAATAAATAACAAGTTTATATTAAACAATCCTCTGACTTTAATGGAAATAAAATGTTTAAACCTAACATTTAGGCACTCCAGTTAAAACATAATAAGTAAAAAAATAACAAGTAAAAACATAATAATAAATATTTATAAAAGTAATTTAATTAATAAACCATTAGTTGGTAGGTACCTACTTTAAAATAATAAATATGTATAAATCTATAAAAATATTAAATTAAACAATCGTCTGTTTTTAGTTATTAAAAATTGTTTGTATAAACACAATAGTAAAAAAATGAATATTAAAATTATTCATAATACTTTTAGATATACCTAATAAACAACTAATTGGTACTTTAAATTAATAATTTTTTAGTAAAAACTAGAGTCAGTCATAACATTTTCAATTTTCATTATAAAACCAATAGTAATAAAAATTAGTACCTACCTAACTAATAATAATTAACCCACCCAAACTAAATTGTAACAAACCTATAGGTTACTTGTCAATATTAATGCTACTCTCACAAGCTTCTCATCTGCAGTTATAATAGTACTAGGGCCACAAGTCGTTTTACCATCAGGATTCTTCAGCCTAAATTGCAATGTTGATCTTTAAACATTAAACAGTTTGGCAGCTCCTTTTTTGCTTAAACCATCATTTAGCACAGCAGATATGGCTTGTAGTAAATTGGTTTTAGAAACTGCTTTCCCTTATTTTTATTCATTTCTAAATTATAGGTAAGATATAATATTTATATTTACCTTTATAGAACAGAAGAATGTAATATAAAACTGTTAAAGTAGGTAGGTACCTACATATAGTTAGATTTTATCAGGTAGGTATTAATAAATAAATAGGTAGTGTCAATAATAAAAATCAAAATGTTTACTCTTCATTCAATTATTGGCACGCAATGCCAATAACTAAAAAACTGAATAATTGTAAGACAGTTTATGGCATAGTACCTACTAAATTAAAAAAATATTAAGCTAAATCTGATTTCAATTATGTAATTTCATTTGAAATATTCTAAGGAATCAGAATATCTAAAGTTCAAATCATTTAGATTACTATTTAATCAATTAATGCCTATGTAAAAAGATATACCTAATTAACAGTATAATATTGAAGTTTCTTACCTGATTTTGAATTTTGGTGTGAAATAATTTTCGATTTAAAAATATTCATATAACTGAAAACATAAATTTGATATCAAACGTTGATTAGGTACTAAACTATACAAGTGTGGCTGGTTAACAAAAAAAAACTCCTCAAAATATCAAAAACATTATTATTTATGAATAATAACATATCAAGGTGCCATTAACTATACCAGTGTCAATAACTCTATACTTTACCCTATATTGTTTGTATCTAAGTAAGTATATAGGTACCTACTCATTTGAGTCTAATATAAAAATACAAATTGGATTTTATGAGTTTATAGATACTAATTTAGATTTCTAACAAAGTTCATACAATTATATAAAAATAAATTAAGTATATTGTAAATAGTGCAAAAATCTAATATATTGTTACAATGGTAGTTGAAAAATATTAAAAATACAGTCACGATTTTTTTTATAATCATTTAAACATCGAATTTTGACAAAATATGTAAATATCACAAATTTGTACTAAATGTCTACAAGAATGTGATATTAAATTTTTATGAGCGTTTGAAGTTCATATTTTTACAATATTGGATATTCACTCGATTTCTCATGTAGCGATTTTCTTATTTTGTTTTAATTCAAAAACCAATAACCGCTATGGTAGACACTTGAAATTTAGAGCG